GCCTTTGAGGGAGGGATGAGGCTTACCTCCTCCTCCAGCAAGGAATAGTTGGTAGAGAATGTCCTTTCCCTCCCTGGTGGCTTTAGGAGGATTCCGTGGCTCATGGCAGTGTAGAAGGAAAAGGCTGGAAGATTAAGTCCTGCTCAACCCCTGGGCTGGCTGCACTCTGAGGCCAGAAAGGTCTTCCTTTTTCCCACTCTGCCTGGAAGGATCTGTTGGCTACATCCTCCTCTGAGAAGAAACACCTCTCCTGCCCACATCCCAGGCTCCTTGTCTCCTGCCCAGACCCAGGAGAGACTTATTCAAAGTCTAGAGAAAACCCCAAGATCACAACTCCCTTCCGCCACCTTCTCAGTCCTGCATCTGTCCAAGTACCATTCAGCTTTATCAGCAGTAAGTTCTGCTTGCTTGGCTGAGTCTGTTCTTTGGGGATTTCCACAAGAGCCCTCTTTGTCTGCCTCAGTTTCTCCACCCTCACCAGTGATTAAGCAAGCATCCAGATGCCAGAAAGTGTGGGTGCTGGCAGGGTCTGGCTGAGTTTGCCACTGGGAAAGCTCAGGGAGGGAGAGGAGAGTGCTCGCTAAAGGACTTGGCACCACAGTCCAGCTCCTGCCTCCTTTGGCCTCCCGCAAAAGTTCTTCCCACCAAGCAGCTGTCCCAGACCCTTCCCAGACCAGAGGCCCTCAGGATAACCGGGGTGGGGGTGATGCTCAGGGCCCAGATGCTACACATCGCTCACCTCTTGGCCCGGAGCTGTTGATAAAATGCTCTGAGATTCTAGAACTTTCCCCGACTGCTACCCTTTCCCTTATAACTTCCCCCCATATATTAACGCAATTTCTTCCAAGAACAGAACTCAGCTCCAGGCTCCTAGTATTATAATAATATTTGACCTGAGGTTTTTCTGTTTGTTTGTTTGTTTGTTTTTTAAAGCAAAATGTGGTCCCATGGGAAGAACACAGATCAGTAACCAACTTTGCTCCCTTTGGACAGCAAGCCCCGCCCACAGTGGGGGTGGGGTGGGCAGGAGGGCTGTTAACTCATTTCCAAGAGACCTGGATTAATTTCCCCGCTGCATCCCCCCAGGGTAAGGCCTGCCCTGGAAGGGAGACCACCCGGTTAAAGCCTGGCCATCCATCCGATCTGGTATCTGACCATCTGTCTGTCTGTCTGTCTGTGGGATCAACAGCCTCCAGCCGGCTCAGCTCCTTGCCAGTCCCAGCCGAGCCAGCTGTAATTCCTGCCTGTTACAAGTGTTAACACCTGGCCTGGGGCCTTCCTCCCCCGCAGTCTCCAGGTGCCTCCCTGGGCCCAGCCCGCTGACCCCCACGGGGTTTGACTGAACATGTTCACAAGCCTCCGAAAGGCGGGTGGAGGTGGGAGTGGGTAGGGGAGGCAGAGGGACATCTGACAGATGGGGAAACTGAGGCAGGACTTAGGGTAGGCACTTGAGTGGGAAAATGGGTCCCAGGATGGTGGAGAGAGAACTCAGATGTTCTTTTTTCCCAGCTCACTGCACTTGACTTCTGCTGAGCACTTTCACCCCAACTGTGAAGCAGGGCAGGCTGGAGATTCCTGATTGAAAGGTGAGGAAACAGAGGCCCAGAGGGTGTGACACACAGGGGCAGGGTGCACTCTGACCCCCAGCACAGGCCCCTTCCATCAGTGCCTCTGCCTCTGGAATGCAGCAGGCACTAGGCTGCGCCCTAATAAGATCGTTCATTTTCCCCCCAAGAAGGAGAAGAAAGACAAGTTCCTCCACCGAGCGCTAACTGGGACTGACAAGAAGAATTATAGAAATCAGTGCTGCTGCCACGGCTCCCTGTCCCAGCTCCGCCAATACCTGGCTGCAAGGCCCTGGAGCATGTCTCTTTCTCCCATGAGGCTGTCTGAGGCCCCTTGTAGCTCGGCCTTCTGGTGTACCTTCTCTCAGGGCTGGGGCCTGAGCAGTGCAGGATGCTGGGGGGTGGGGTGCCTCCCTTGAGGGGTGGCACAGGCAGAAATCCTAGCTGAACGATTTCCCCTTGAAGTCCCTCCTGGGGAATGTGTGAGCTGGGTGGGCCAAGGAGGACAGGCAGTGATGGGCTGAAGGACTGGAATCTGGCTGCCCCGGAGGCAGAGTAGAAACAGGAATCTGAGGCCTGTCTACTCTACTGTCCCTGTCCCAGCCCTGGCCCTTGCCCCAGCCCTGAGAACGTGACTCACCCATCACCCAAGCTCTAAGACAAGATGGGAAAGGAGGGGAGGGCTGGTGACCACAGTCCTCAGACAGGATGAGCTGGTGCCAAGGAAGGCTCCACACCCTCACCCCTGCCCTACCCTGCCCGGCCCGGGGGTCTCAGTTCGCTGTGCCCCTTGCAACTTCCTCGGTAGAACTCTGTCTCCTGCTGGACTGTCCCTCCAGGACCATGAACCCCACCAAGCACCCAAGCTTGGGTTGTCACTCACACTTATAGGTCATATGTCTGCAAACATATCCATAGCCGTGGGCCCAGCCATGGTCACTGGCACTTGAGGACAGGGTCTCAGGCAGACCCAGACACAGCCCCCACACTCATACTTACAAGCACAATCAGGTCATGGCCATGAGCTATAATATCCATTCACAAAGCCATCTGTGGGGCTTTCCCCTTTTACTGTCATGAAGGCATGTGCACACACGCGCACACACAGACACAAACACACACACACAACACTCACGTGCCCCGTCATGATCACAGCCATGCAGCATCATAAGCAGACACAGGTGCTGACCTCTATGTGGGCATAGATACTTCTAGACTTTCTCTGTCACACACATACATACACACACATAGAATCAGCCACTTGCTGACACTCGTATGCAGAGACACAGCACACCTTGTCACAAGCCACGGATCCCCCAAGCACATCTCACACAAGTTCACATCCACATCACCCAATTGCAGCACAGACACTCCTACACACAGAGGCATACTAGTATACAGATGACACTCCTTAGGGTCACATACCTAACACACACACACACACACCTGTGCTCGGACAAAGCAGCATCCCTGTCCCCCAAACCTCCAGACAAACCATGTGTCCAATATTACATGAGGGCCAACGTCCTGGTTTTCCAGATCTCTTCAGCATCTTCCCACTGGGTGGTCCCTATCTAGATGTTCCCCAATACACCATTACACACCAGACCTCCCACCCACTCCCCACCAGCACTGCCAGGAAGTGCCCTCATCTGGTTCATAGGCTGGGGGACCTGGGCTTTCCCCCTGGCTTCCTGCTGCCTATAGGGCTCCCAGCCTTCTCTTCCCACCCCCATTCCCACCCCAAGCTCCCTGAGAAAGCAAAGAACAGCATGGCCTTGGCCCAGGGATGGGAAGAGGGTGAGGAAGGGTGGGTAAGGCAGGACTGGTTTCTGCAGCAGCCATCCCCCCAACCAGCAAAGCCCCCAACCTGGAACCCCTGGCAGCCCCAGGCGCCCTGTGGACTTCTTTATGTACAGGAGGCCTCAGACCAGCCTGCCGCCACGGGAAGGATGGTCTGGGCAGAAGAAAGACTTCCCCCTTGGGTGTCTGTCCTGGAAGCAACTCTCAGCACCCTCTAAACGAAACCCCTGGCCATGCCTTGCTCCTGCCCCAATCCTGGCCCCAGACATCCAGACACAAACCTTACCACCCCCAAACAGCTGGAGGCAGACTCGGGGTGTGGCCCCCAAATCTCCTGGCTCTGCTCCCCCTATCTCAGGCTGGGCAGGGGGTGGCAAGGCAGGGAAAGGGGGACAGGCAGGTGGCATGGCATCCTGGTGGCACTCCTCTCTGACTTTCATCCCAGGGCCACAGTCCCTCTGCTTACTCACAGATCCCAAATTCTTCCTCCTCACCTCCCACCCCCCCAGGCCCAGGCTCTCCTACATCCAGGACGGGAAGATTCTTTAATTAAAGTTTTCCGGAATGCAGGGGGCTGGAGACTGAGGAGAGGCGGGGTGTAATTTAGAGAACTGGTTTCAGTGTGTCTTTCCCCTCTGGCCTCTGGGACCTGCCGGGTGGCGATGAGGCCGCTTGGAAAACAAGGGGACTCCCTGGAACTGGGGCTCCCAAAGGGCTGTTTATTCCACGGCCAGTTCCCCTATACACATGCAACCCCCCAAAAACACCGCGCCTGGTTTCCCAGCCTTATTTACTAAAAATGTCTTTTGTATCCGCATTTCTCAGGGACGGAATCCTCCTCTCCCTCTCTCTCTTTCTCCTCGGTCCTCGGTTTTCCAAAAGGAACGAATTTGACATGGAGAATTGGGTTTTTGGTCAAAGAACAAACCCACCCCCTCCCAAACAACTACATTTTCAAGAAGGCCCGCTTTTGCCAGGATGGACAAGCAAGAAATGAATTAAATCTGAATTCAATGGCATCTCGGATCAGCAAATACCACATTCACTTCTGAGGCTCAAGATTAATCTAGAGCAGAGTGGGGAGAATCTGATGAAATCCCTCCCCTGCCCCGGGGATCCCCGAAGCCATTGGGGTCTAAAATATGAAGGCAAAGTGGGGTTATTGTGGGGAAATCTCTTGATGGAGGCGCTGGCGGAGGTGGGGGTGGCAATGAAGGAACAGGATGATTTTGCCCATGAAGACCCCAAAATGGAGAAGAGGAGTGGCTGGGCCCCAGGGACATCGTTAGATTTCCAGAAACCCAACTGCAAGCAAATGGAGGGTCTTCAGGGCCCCCAGATTGGGACGGATGGAGGGTTAGGATCTAAGAATAAGAGACCTTCTGAGACGGGGAAAGTCCTCCAGCCTCTGCAGCGAGTAGCAGGGAAAATGGTGATTATCAGAGAAGCCAGGAGTTGGATTCTGAAGGCGACACCAGCAGAAAATCCAGGGGGTGGGCGAGTAGGGGGCTGGAGGGAGATAAGAAGAAAGGAGCCCCAGCCCTGTCGCAGACCACCCCCAGCTGGCGCCCCCCACCTCCCAGGGGCTCCGCGGAGAAATCGGGCAGCGGGCAGATTAGAGGAGAGTCTTACCACCAAATTGGGTAGCCGGCGAGGACCCTGGTGCCACAGAGCAGGAGGCCGAGGAGCAGCCCGAGCAGGTGGGGCTCCATTAGAAGCGGCGCCGAGGAGGAAGTTTGCCCGCGACCATGAAGAGGGGGAGCGACGCCCCCAATAGTTGGAACAAAGTCCACTTGAGATTGGAAATGACTTTCGAGCTTGTCAGAAGCGCACCTCCACCCGCAGCTACCCCCCTCCCGAGCCCAGCGCGGAGCAGCCGGGTTTGAGGATGTCAGCGAGCAGCCAATCAGCGCCCGCGGCCTAAGGTAAGAGATGAGTCTGTAGTTCAGCCTGTCAATCACGCGCCCCTCCCGCCCGGCCCACGAGTCGGGCTCCGGGAAGGGCATCGCCCAGCAAACTTGGGCAAAGCCCGCGCCCCGGACACAGTGGGAACTTGGGGGGACACGGCACGTTGGACCCTCTGCGTCCGGGACCGCTGCGGCCCCCCACCCCAGCCAGGTTTAGGGAGCTGGGGCTTTGACGGGGGCGTTCACGTGGTGCCGGGTTGGCGTGGGTATTAATGGGTGGCTCCTTTTCTCTCGGAGAACCGTGACCTCCTGGGACTTGGGCCCGTGAGGAAGCGATAGTAGAAAGCACAGGGATGTTTCCAGAAGCTTCGTTCGGGCAGGACAGGATCCGAGGGTCGTGGAGGGGGTTGGGAAATGCAAACCCTCCCAGCCTCCCGAGCCCACGAGCGGGCCGGCCACTCAACCCTGCCGCGGGAGGTCGCTTCCCGGGTGTCCGAGAGGCGCGCAGAAGGGTCCGCGGAAGCTCGAAGGTCTGGCTGCGGGCGGCGCCGGGGGACAGATCCGAGTGTCATTTGAGTCTTTTGTCAGGGATCAGATCGGTATCGGGACCTCCTGCTGCCTTTGCATTTCCTGCAACTGACACCAGCGGCCAGTTGCATTTCCTGCCCGCGGAGCCGGGTCACTTTCTCCTCCTTGAGGGGTTCAGGCCTGGCCTCCGGCTCAGGTCAGAAGGATGACGGCAATCCCATTCGGATCTTGTGGATGAACAGTTTGGGACACGTGAAATGCAGCAGCCCCAGCAGGGAGCAGCTGGGGTTCTTGAAGGACCTTGCTGCCATTGAGACCCTTTCCCTACCCAACTCTCCTGCCTGAGGCCCTGGGCTCCAACCTGGAGTTTGGTGATAATGCCCCCTTTCCCTGCGTGGACACCAAAATGTATCCACATACCCCACCCCTTGCCATATGAAAAAAGTCCTTCCAAGGCCTCTGTGGGTTCTTTCTCCCCTCTCCCTCTCCAGAGTCAAGGAATTAGGTCTGGCTTGAGTGGTACTGGAACTGAAGCCAGATTTGGAGGAACTTGACCTGCTGTCACCTGGGCACCTGCCCAATCCTGCTCCCAGACCATTCAAGGCTCCCAGAGGCACCGGGGGCCCTGGAGCATCCCTGGGCCCCGGGCAAAGAAAGCAAGTTCAGTGAGAGTGGGTGAGGGCAGTGACTCCTGAAACTGTGGCAGAAAGGGCAGCAAATGAGCCCACCCCCAGCTCTGTGAGGCTGTGATGGTGGCCACTCCACCAGGCAGGGGAATGGCTGGAGGAAGTCCACACCAGGGAGCCAGACATTCCTGGCCTTTGATGTGGGCCACTCGTGCCCATAGCTTGAATCCACTGCCTCTGCCCATCTGAAGAGCCCTCCCTGTGCAAGGCTGCGATGGGCGCGGGAGCTTGGAAAACTTGGCCCGGGGGCATCAAGGGTAGGGAGAGCCGCCTGGGCTTGTCATGGCTTCTGCCGCGTTCCTGGCCCGGTGCTCAACTGTTGGGGAGGGAGGGATGAAAGAGAGGAGGGGAGGGAAAGGGAGAAAGGAGAGACAGAGTAGTGAAAAAGAGAGTGCACCAGTGAGGGCCAGAAAGAGGAGAGAGGGGAGAGAGAGGGGAGACTAGCAGAGGGAGCCCAAGGAGAAAGAAGGGAAAGAAAGGAGGAGAGAAAGGCAGAGATGGAAAAGGATGAACAAGGTGAAGAGAAAACCCCAATCTGCCCAGGATGGTGGATGGACTGGAGGCTGTGGAGATGGGGACCTTTAAAGATGGCCCCATGGCAGACTGATCCTGGGGCACTTTGTTTCTGATTCACCTGGAAAGGCGGTTGCAGTGGATTTTCCATTGTCTCTGACCACGGAGCTCCAGAGCCCTGACTCTAGGAGTAGACAGCCCTCCATACACACCCTCATGGCCTGCTAATTCCTACCTGGTCCTCTGCCATGGGGGCTTTCAGCAGGTTCTCTGATCAGATGTGCCTGCTGGAACTCAAATCCTGCCTGACAGTTTGGGGGGCTCTGAAGCCCCATAATTGTCCCTCTGAGAGCTGAGAATGGCTACATTCCTTGGTCACCAAGACACTACTGTGGATTCAGTGTGACCAGGAGACAGGGATGGGCTAGATGACCTCTTGGGGTCATTTCTGGGTTCCAAGATTCCACAGGTGCCAGCTCTGGGAGATGGGGGCAAAAGATCCCCGAGGCTGCAGGTGGGGTGGGGGTTGGCTGAGACTTGCCCAGCCAGTGGCCCTGGGCAGTGTAGGCAAGAGTGGCCATTCCCTGAAGGGACTGTGTCTCCTAATGCTTCCTCCAGGCAGCCTGGGAGCACTGGGGATTCTGGGTCATGAGCATCATTGGCAGGGAATAGAAAAGAGACAGGGACACAAGTGGGTGGTAGGGTGGAATCCTGGACTTTTTGCTGGCCCCACAGCCTAAAGAAGTAAAGAAGGGGAGGACCGGAGGGGCCAAACGGGAGCCTGCTAGTGGCACAGCAAGGCGCCCTGGAGAATGGGAGCTGTGTGGGGATTCCCGTCAACTTGAAATCTCCCCAGAGGAGGGGATTCCTGAGCCCTTTCCCCTCCCCTGCCAGGTGTCCTTCCTTCAACACGGGCTTAATTTCCTTCCTCCTGCCGTTCCAACGCTGCCGGTGGGAACAGAGTTAGTCCTTGCCGGGGATGGGGAGGGCCCCGCTGAGTGTCACAAAGGGAGACTCTCTCTCATAGGCACCCGCACCACACGGTGGGTTGCATTGGATGGGGAAAGGGTTAAATTCACTCCAAGGCCAGCCAGGTGGGTGGGGTGGAGGCGTCCGGGCGTTGGACCCCAGGGGCTCCGCCTGAATGGAAGGGTGACCTCTTGAAAGGGGCCTGGGGGCTCAGGGGTGGCACGTGGGAAGCACTCTGTGTTGTGTGTGTGGATATCGGGGATCTCAAACCCGCGGGTGACTACCCATCCCCATCCCACCCCCACCTCCCTAGCTGCCCCGAGGTTCCTTTTGACGCGCTCCCCCTGGGCAAGCTGTCAGCGCTGTGTATTCAGTGCCGATCGACCCGGACTCCTGCGGAGGTACCGCCGAGACAAAGGACTGGGCGGCCAGGCCCCCTCCCGCCCGCAGAGGGCTACCGGTCTGTCGCGGGGAGGGAGGAGGAAATCTTCCACCAAGGGTCGTGCGCTTCATTTCTATTTGGAACCTGCCCGAAGGCTGCTGGCGCCCAGGAGGTGGGCGCCGGGATCAGCCTGGGGAGGATGGAGGGAGAGGGAAAAGGCTGCTGCCGGCTGGGGAAGTAGCACGTGAGAAAGGCCTGCAACCACGCACCTCCCGCAGGGAACCGCACGAAGGGTGAGTGTGGCGGCTCCACGGTCTCAGGCCCGGGGAGATGGGCTTTTAACTTGACTCCAAGAGCTACAGCAGCCGCAGAACGGTTTCTAGAGAGCTTCTTGGAGGCCCCTAGAAAACTAGACAACCAGAGAGGGCAACCTGGAGGCAGGCAGGACGTAGCGTAAGTGGTCGGCGCAGGAATTAATCGAACAAGATTTTTTTAAACTGCCCCTTGTAGAGGCAGCGTCCTGGAAATGCCTGAAGCCTGCACAGGGTAAGCACAGAGGTGAGCAGCAAATGCCAATGGAACGCACAGAGGCATCCCGCCCGCCAGCCTCTCCATCGACCGTCCCTGGCGCGCCCCCTGCCGGCGGTGCTGATAATAAGGCGAGGAAGGTGGCCCCGCCCCGCCCTGCGCCCGCTCCGCAGGCTGGGAACCGGAGCCTTTGTTGGTGAGCAGCCTGGATCTTTGGGGATCCCGGTTAAGTAGGCATCCTCGTGACTGAATGCCTTTAATCTACTTCGCAATCCCCGAGCTTAGCTGAGGATAAAGTGTGCGTGGCTTCGGGTTCCCCTCTCCTCCCCACCCAGGTGGCTCTCTTGGGAGGGCGGGCTCCAGATGCTGGACGCAAGCGGGCGGAGGTGATGTGAGATCCCGAGCTCGAACCGCCAGGAGGGGACCCTGCGGCTGGTTAAGCCTTGTATCGAGATCTGGGAGGCTGCGAACGGCAGGATGATGTCACCCAGTCCTTCCTGGCCTGGCCCACCCGCACCCCAAGATCACAGGTGCCACCTGAGAGGCAGTAAAATGTTTTCCCTGTCATAGTAGTTCCTCCCGTCTTAGTCATCTCTAGTTGCCCAAGGGCTTCTTGGAAAATTATTTGGGGTCAGTTTTTTTTAAAAGGGAGGGAGCAACAGAAAAATGGGGTGGGGGCACCACCGGCCAGCTGCCTGTCGTCTCCGAGCCTCCTCTGTCCATCTGAGGTGAAGATAATACTTTATGTCTCGTGGGGAGTTGTCAGCGTTAAATGAGAATCGTGCTGACAGAATGCCAGACCGCGATGGTGAATAATAAATACTGGGTGTCTGTCTTCTCTTAGGGGCTGAGGAATCAGTGGCTGTCTTGGGTTGCTCCTTCTGCCCCTGTCAGCCTCAGCTGAGCAGCTCCTCGCATGCCCTGGAGGCTGCTCCAGAAGGATTTACCCAGAAAAATCTTATCTGACACCCCAACTTGAGACCCACATCAAAATCTCTTCAGAGAGATCCCCCCATCCCCCGTACAACTAGCTGCTCCCCAACTCAGTCCCTCTGGGCCTCTTATTCCACTTTATTTTTTTCTGCATAGCCCTTAACTCTGACCTCATATTACATAGATTTTGTATCAAATATGCCTGTTAAGTTGCCCACTTAATGCTGTCTGTTTCCTACTCTAAAATCTAAATTCTGCTGAAGCCCCAGCACCCAGATCAGGGTCTGACATGGAGCAGGCTCCTTATAAACATTGTGGGTGACTGAATGAGGGAGTGATGGAGGAGGCAGAGGCTGAAGCCTCAAATAGGGGATCACTGTCTTATGTCTGAGTTCCTTATGGCCCTTTGGGTCCCCATCGTTAGTAGATCTTGGC